CACTTGTTCACTGTGATGCCCTCTATTATTGTGCAAAGTCACATTCACTTTTACTGTGGAAATTCCAAGAAAATAGGGGTCAAAGTGTGCAAAAATGATCCAAAATGCACTTTTTAACCTGGATTTAAAAAAAAAGTAAAAAACCTTAGAAAAAGCTTTCACTGCACACTTGTTCACTGTGATGCCCTCTATTATTGTGCAAAGTCACATTCACTTTTACTGTGGAAATTCCAAGAAAATAGGGGTCAAAGTGTTCAAAAATGATCCAAAAAGCACTTTTTAACCTGGATTTAAAAAAAAGTAAAAAACCTTAGAAAAATCTTTCACTGCACACTTGTTCACTGTGATGCCCTCTACTATTGTGCAAAGTCACATTCACTTTTACTGTGGAAATTCCAAGAAAATAGGGGTCAAAGTGTGCAAAAATGATCCAAAATGCCCTTTTTAACCTGGATTTTAAAAAAAAAGTAAAAAACCTTAGAAAAAGCTTTCACTGCACACTTGTTCACTGTGATGCCCTCTACTATTGTGCAAAGTCACATTCACTTTTACTGTGGAAATTCCAAGAAAATAGGGGTCAAAGTGTGCAAAAATGATCCAAAATGCACTTTTTAACCTGGATTTTTAAAAAAAGTAAAAAACCTTAGAAAAAGCTTTCACTGCACACTTGTTCACTGTGATGCCCTCTACTATTGTGCAAAGTCACATTCACTTTTACTGTGGAAATTCCAAGAAAATAGGGGTCAAAGTGTGCAATAATGATCCAAAATGCACTTTTTAACCTGGATTTTAAAAAAAAAGTAAAAAAACCTTAGAAAAAGCTTTCACTGCACACTTGTTCACTGTGATGCCCTCTACTATTGTGCAATGTAAACATTAGTTGATAAGTAAAATGAGAATGTTAGGGTGGTAATAGCTTATAACTTATGAATGTTCTATGTTTATTTATGTCATTTTTTGCATATAAACTAAAACTAAAAATGCAAAAAGATTTGCCCAATGCCTATATAGTCTGTCTGTACTATAGGAACATAAAGTATTAAAGTGATCGTCCGCAGTTTGTCAGAAAAAGAGAGAGAGAGGTACTTGATTTGAAAGAAACGACGCAAGCTCCCTCCCCCTTCCTTTCTGATTGGTCTACGCTCGCGTTTCCTTAACACTTATAAATGTTAATTAGAGAACACATTATACATATACATCATTAATACACATGCACGGAGGATTTCAGAATGATTTGTTAGCGTTTTAATGAAAAAAAAAAAAAAATTATGTACAAAAGAAGAGGTCGCGGCAAACCCGGGACAAGCTATTATCATGAATTGAACATTATAGGACACATCTGCAGAGGACCTGATTATGGATATAGGTTCAGTATATATCTGATTATGGATATAGGTTCAGTATATATATGACTATGGATATAGGTTCAGTATATATATGACTATGGATATAGGTTCAGTATATATATGATTATGGATATAGGTTCAGTATATATATGGGTACCTCAGCGCGGATGTTCAGAATTCTTTTTTCAGTTTTCTTGTAGTTCCAGAGCCTAAAGGCTTGATTCGGAGGCTCCGCGAAAACAAACAACTGAGCATGAGCAGCTACGAGCATCAGCGCAGATGATTGACAGCTCTTGGCATGACTCGATTGGTTAACCTCGATGGCATCGTGGATTCTGAGCTATAGCTAAGAGAAGGGAAGGTGGGACTTGCCCGTAAAATTAGAAATAATAAAATGACTTATTTCATATCAACATTTAAGGCCAGGAGGTCAATTTAACACAGTTCCTAAAATGTGTAATTCATTTAGAGTTGCATACTATCACTTTAAGTCCCAGTCGTCAATTGAAAAAAAATGAAAGGAGCGACTTGGAAGTCCATCGTAATATCAAATTCACCCAAATAAATGTGTGCAGGATTCTTTCAGATCTTTTGGCACAGTTGAAGGGTCATCAATTCTGGACTATTCATAGAAAACTAAGAAATGCATTATTCATCATTTTTCAAAATACTCATGTATTTTGTATTCATTTTTCCTTTTTTCCAGATACAATGCAGCATGTGCCAAAAATGGTACCATGAGGAGTGCTTGGCCTTAAACCCATGTGAGCGGAAAAAAGCAAAACAGCCAGAAACGTTATGGCATTGCTGCCTGTGTCCAAAAAAATCATTGAGATAACCTGGCATCTCAACCTTTTGATGCATGTTTTTTATTTTCTTACTGTCACGGTTACTGGTTTCTCAAATCCGTTCATAAAAAAAGATTGGACACGAATATTGGTGTTTTTTTTTTTTTTCTGAGAGTGTACAGTGAAAGTTTAGAATATTTCTTTTCAGAGTAGTAGAGGACATCACAGTGAACAAGTGTGCAGTGAAAACTTTTTCTAAGGTTTTTTACTTTTTTTTAAAATCCAGGTTAAAAAGTGCATTTTGGATCATTTTTAAACACTTTGACCCCTATTTTCTTGGAATTTCCACAATAAAAGTGAATGTGACTTTGCACAATAGTAGAGGGCATCACAGTGAACAAGTGTGCAGTGAAAGCTTTTTCTAAGGTTTTTTACTTTTTTTTAAAATCCAGGTTAAAAAGTGCATTTTGGATCATTATTGCACACTTTGACCCCCTTTTCTTGGAATTTCTACAGTAAAAGTGAATGTGACTTTGCACAATAGTAGAGGGCATCACAGTGAACAAGTGTGTAGTGAAAGCTTTTTCTAAGGTTTTTTACTTTTTTTAAAAATCCAGGTTAAAAAGTGCATTTTGGATCATTATTGCACACTTTGACCCCTATTTTCTAGGAATTTCCACAGTAAAAGTGAATGTGACTTTGCACAATAGTAGAGGGCATCACAGTGAACAAGTGTGCAGTGAAAGCTTTTTCTAAGGTTTTTTACTTTTTTTAAAAATCCAGGTTAAAAAGTGCATTTTGGATCATTTTTAAACACTTTGACCCCTACTTTCTTGGAATTTCCACAGTAAAAGTGAATGTGACTTTGCACAATAAAAGAGGGCATCACAGTGAACAAGTGTGCAGTGAAAGCTTTTTCTAAGGTTTTTTACTTTTTTTTAAAATCCAGGTTAAAAAGTGCATTTTGGATCATTTTTGCACACTTTGACCCCTATTTTCTTGGAATTTCCACAGTAAAAGTGAATGTGACTTTGCACAATAGTAGAGGGCATCGCAGTGAACAAGTGTGCAGTGAAAGCTTTTTCTAAGGTTTTTTACTTTTTTTTAAAATCCAGGTTAAAAAGTGCATTTTGGATCATTATTGCACACTTTGACCCCTATTTTCTTGGAATTTCCACAGTAAAAGTGAATGTGACTTTGCACAATAGTAGAGGGCATCACAGTGAACAAGTGTGCAGTGAAAGCTTTTTCTAAGGTTTTTTACTTTTTTTAAGAATCCAGGTTAAAAAGTGCATTTTGGATCATTATTGCACACTTTGACCCCCATTTTCTTGGAATTTCTACAGTAAAAGTGAATGTGACTTTGCACAATAATAGAGGGCATCACAGTGAACAAGTGTGCAGTGAAAGCTTTTTCTAAGGTTTTTTATTTAAAAAAAATATAAACATGTTAAAAAATGCATTGTGGCGGCTGATCCTCGCGGCTTCTCTTTTCTGTGTTACCGTAAGTAACAGCATGAAGGGGCAACCCGCTAGAAATGTGCGGACCTCTTTACTGTTGACTCCGAAAAGCCGGACCTCTTTACCGCGGTGGAGCACCGACGAGGCACTTCACGCTTCGAAGAAACCAAAGGAAAAGTAGTTTGGGCTCATGGCAGAGCCTGTTATACGCAGAGACTGTGGACTAGAGTTCTGTTGCATATCTAACTTATATCTAACTTATAAACTGTGCAGTCGTTTGTTTTGCACTGTTCCTGTGTTTGTCTGAATCTGCACTCGCAGCTTATCGCGTCTGTTCCATTCCTCCTGCACTTATAAATTGTTCATGTTTGCCTCAGATATTTACCACTTATTGTTTTGCTGTTTGTGCTGAATACAATTTAATGATAACTATGTTTCCAACAAGAACTGTGTCTTTATTCACAAAATCACAGTTAAATGAGTTAAGAAATAATGATTCCATAGAACTATCACATAAACCTACAGTAGAAACACATCTACTGATGATCTCAATGATCTCAAACAGCTTTGTTTTTGTTCATGTTTTTGTTCTGAAGAGGAGAAAGTAGCAGCGTAAATGAGACCGCTTTGGTTTCTCAAGCAACTCCTGTGAGATCGCATCATGTGGTTGGTTGTGCGATTACAACATTCTCCTCAAAACTCCGCAAGGAGTATAAATTAAATTGTGCTTGCGTAGGTCCACCGCGCTTAAGTATACATTAGGCAGATGGTTCAAGAATGATAAACACTTCGGGTTTAGGCATGAAAGACGAACAAAGGCCTTCCTCAGAAAGAATTGTTTTTTCCAAAGGCGTTCATGCGACACGTATTCATTTTTTTGTAACCACACAATAATTTAACATTGATCAGACTGTGATCGGTCTGATCTAACATTTGTTATATGTTAGAAATGTAATTTTGTTCTTTGTTAATAGGGTTAGGCAAAATAAGTGTTAAACTTCAGCCTAACCTTTTCGGCCTGTTAATAATTTACAATCTGTGAATGTCAAATGTTTTGATATTTATTTCTTATGGCCAAAGAATAAAAGAATGATAAAAAATAATAATAATAATATGTAAAAGTATTGATAGGACACCTCATTTTTGTGTTTTAACTGACCTAACAGCAGTATGTTAAGAACAGTAATGTGAAATTAAAAAAGAGAACAATACCAGAATAAAAATAACTGTATGTTTAATTTATGAAAATGCTCATGGACATAGCTCAAGTAAGAACATTATACAATCACTAAGACATTTGAAACTGCAATCTATAGACGATGGTGTAAACATGTAAACCAATGACCAAGCGTAACCATCAGACGTAACCATGTGTCGTCTATCTCATTATGTTCGAGCACTTGTGTCAAACAAGCAGAAACACGTCTCCTTTTTCTCGACCACGGGCTGAAATTCAAACAAACATAGTTGAATGTGTTATGTAACTTATGTTTAAATGTAATCACATTGACCTGATGTAAAAATGGATGTGAACTTTTTTAAAACTGGTTTGAGCAGTGACACAGTTGGGCTGTATTGTTTGTTACATTGAATAACAGGCTGATGATGTCCTAATCATCTTTAATCATTCTATTTCTATCGTAAATATGTATATGACAGAATTACTGACTGGAAAATAGAGTGAAATAAGACCAATCCTGTCGGAAATGATCATACAAGCTGCTCACAGTAAGGACTCAGCTTGAGAAAAATGCTTTAATTCTGGTGAATGGTTATTTAAACAAATCACATGGGGTTGTGCGTACATTTTGAGTCATTTCTATAGTGTTTGCAATTCCCTCTTTTCAGAATAAGTTGTAATAAATAATATAATTCCATTCAGTCTGTATCAGACTGTTGTGGAGCTGGGCAAATGGAAGGAAGGAAATGGATCAAACGAATTCAGTCAGCTCGTTGAATCGCTTTTGTTGACCAGGAAATGTGTATACAATACTATATAGTACAACAGATGTGCAACACATGTCTGTACCTCTGTAGCACACAGATGGACTCCAGTCGCTCCACACACCACTGTCCGCACAATACTTATTCAGCTTGGAGCGAACTTTCAGACAAATGTTCTCAAAATCTGGCAGCGGCAACATAACTGTAGCATCTGAGGAAGGGATCTGCAGCAGGAAAGACAAGACTTTATTATAGACTTTACAGACTTATTATGACATTTACGCAAGTTTGAGTCAGGATATTGATGTTCCAGACTTGTAATTATAAAAGATTCACTGCTGCTCCCTCAGTGTAATCCTTCAGTGGCGGTTGGGAAACGACTCTGTGTCTTTTGTTCACTAACTAAGGCACATATTGCATCAGTTACTTCCTGCCCTACCCTACACAATAGAACAACATATTTGATGAATATTTGATGGTCCCGGTATCGATATCTGTTTTCAATAAGATGATCTTTTTAGAGTAATCATGTACCAGAGAGAATGTGTTGCGTCCATTTCTGCTGGTCTGGAGCTGCCACAGGAGGCAGTGGTGAGGAATCCTCCCTGAAGGGCTGTTCCAATGAGCTTTGAGCTGCCTCTCAGCTGCTGTGTCCACGGACACCTGTGTAGGTGCGTCAGGCTTCACTGCAACACACAAATCTTTAATTATATTTTGCTTTCAACACACAAATACTTTACACAAAAAGACAGCACTGGTACTGCTACTGGTACCATGGTTCTGGATCTGCAGTGTGGAATACAGAGCTCTGATGGGCTGCTCTGAAGAGGCGTTCACACACAGGTTAAGGTCTGTAAAAGTGGGTATATCTATTCCAGAGAAAATACAGCCAGTTCTCTCGCCTCCAGAAGTGATGTAGCGTGGACACTCTTTTGCATGTCCCAGTTGTCGGTGCCTACAGGAACAACACCATAAGATGCAGAGTATGAAAATTACACAATATGATCCAAGTGTAGCAGGATATGACATCACTTTACTCACTTTAAGCATCTATAATCTTTTGCGACCAACCAACCCTTCCACGTATGCAGAAGGGCCTGATCCAGACCCTCACACATTTTAAAATAATTATTGAAAAGCTGTGTGCTTCTGGTTGATATTATGTAAATCATTTTCCAAGTGAAACATTTTCCCCAAAATCAAAGCACACAACCTGAACATATACGCACCAGTAATACAGTTTCTCTTGTGCTTTTCCTGGTATCTCAGCATTCTTCTTCCAATGGCAAACCAGATGCTCCATGTTAAAGTAAACACATGTGACGGCCTGGAAGCAATCAATGCCTGAGGACATGATGAAAGCATGTGTCTTAGTGTGACTAACGGCACTGGGAACATTATGACAAGCTTACCTCTCCTGTCTGGCTTTTGCACCACTTCAGTGTAGTTTTGGCTTCTGGTGATGCCTCCCTCCACACATTCTCCAGAGAAGACTGTGTAAACACGGACCTTTACCTCTTGAGCCAGGTCAAACTGGGCCGTGACAGAATTCAGGGACGTCCTGATGCTCTGGGAAGCACAACATTATTTAACATTATATTTTTATCATTGCATTTGCTGTGTTCTAATGGTTTGCTTTTCTAATCTGCCGTTAGAGATCTGACAATATCCTGCGTTTGTGATTTGGGGCTATACAAAAATATATTGTTATTTATTATTTGTATTATTTGAAAGTGCAATGCAGTTCAATAAAAGTAGGTATTGGAAACTAGTTTTATTATATAGATATTTTACATGTATGGACACTTATCAACACTTTCTCTCATGAACCAATACCAAATACAAAAAAATATGTATATATGCATAAACAAAAGTAGGCTATAAAAATGTATGTATAAGTTAGCCTGCACGAATAAACATAAAAATACGTAATGAAGCAATATCGATTATCCAAGTAAAAAGAAGCTGAGAAAAGTTCGCACAGTCCACTTGCTGCTGGAGCTGTCATAGTAGTGCACTTCATACAGCACGGAGCACCGAGCGCGATGCAGACGGGGGCCCCAGTGGATGTGGAGGCTTCCCAAGTGCCCTGGGTCTGTTACGGTCACTTTCTCAGGAGGGTCCACTGCAAAAAGAAAAACAACATCCCGCTGTCACGTAAAATAACACTAATAAGAAATATATAAGTTACATATTCCAAATGAGGAGGATCCACCAACCTGTGCTGCTGCGGACCCACTGCAAACTCATGAATAGAAAGACCAGCGCAAGACACGTTTCCTTCGCCATCATGCCACAAATATGATCAACAAATGGAAGTATAGTCTTCTCTGAGCCTATGCATTCAACTGATAAAATGAGGACGAGCATCCACAGTCCAAACGGCTTCATTAAGAGGGCAGGGCGAGCATGTATAGGGAGTGTCTCTTCATTGGAAGTGGAGCTGGCGCTGAGTGACATGGGAAAAGCTGGGTTACCTCACTTTGAAACCAGGAAAAATAACTATGTAAAAACCATGTACCATGAGATGAGATGTGTTAACATGTAACATGTTTTGAGATAGCTTCTCTTTCTCAAAACCATTTGATTTTAGATGTTTGATCATTAGTGTTTCTGGCCACTGTCACATCTGTAGATACTCTTTTTCAGACAGTAAATGAGTACCATCCTTGTCCAATCAACTCTTAGTATTTAAAAGTTAAAATGTTTTCCAATAAGAGGAAGACAGTATGTTGTGGTCAGATGTGTTTCTTAAATTGTTACTCAAAAGAACTTTTCTGCTTTCAAAAATACATGTTATTTGTCCCAACAGAAACATGGATTGTAAACACTTTTTTGACTGGACTTGGGATGTTCTGAAATGGGGTGCGATATGTTTATGATGATTCTCAAAACTGTTACATGTGTGGGATATATGGAATTTTCAGACACAATCAAAAGCAAATGTCAGTTTATGTAGATGAAGTTGATTGGATTGGATTGCACAGGTTCTGAGAGCTTTACAACAAGGCAATACTGTACTAGTGGGGCTGAAGTTTACTGGATGATACTGTGAACGTGCCTCAATGGCTACTTTGTGTTAGTGGCAGAAGGCCACATAAAATGACTGGGTGAGCCACATTTGGCCTGCAGGCCCTACTTTGAGCATGCTGGTTCTAGTTTGTCAGTGTACAAATCTTGGTTGAAAACATTTCATCTGTGCATCTGACTCACTTTATTTTCCACTTTTATAGATCTTAATTGTGCTTTTAACATATTTGTATTGTTTTAAATGTTGTTTTGTTGAATGTATTGTGAAGAAGAACTGAGTGTGAAGAGGGCTGTATGGATACATTTGAAAGCAAACCAAAAAGTTAGATACGTAAGGTTTTAAATTGTAATTATAAAATTAACTCTACAGCAGATATAACAAAAGAAGGAAATAAGAGCACACATCAAACAGGATCTATTATCCAAGATAATAGATAAGACCATTCATCTGTTATTATTATAATAGATTTTGCATGTTTGCATTAAACCTTAGGCCAAATGCTATGGAAGAGGAAAGAATCAGAATGACGGTATCATAAAGATTTACATAATGAGGACCTATGACGTCTATGCAAATCTGATTGTAGTGGAAGACTATTTTCAAAAGGGCAACAAGAAAAAAACAAGTGCACTGAAAAGAATTAACTTTATTTCATCTTTCCCATGTTGACTCTTAAGAAAGTTGTAATTTACACATGATATGTACAACCGGTTCAACTTGAGTGACCCTCGCATGCATCCAGTTAGAAATACAAAAATGTCTTGGCAGTTTTGCATACAGACACGCCAAACTTTACAAATATCCTCAGGCAGTTGTGTGACTTGACATTTAGGATGAAAGACTTTTGACATCACAAACAGACTCTGTGACATTTAATTTTCAAAACAGTGTCATTAAAATAATAAAAAGCATGTAGTCCTTCATAACATTAATCCTAATCCACAAATTATAGGGTTAAGACATTGCGCATTACTACACACAGTCAGGATTAATGCAATGGCAACTGTGGTAATGCCCCAATATTATAACTTCAAAGATGTCATTTCATTTTTTACCCTTTTATTAATCATTTCTGGATCGGGGGCCTTGGTCTTTCAGCGAGGGCTTCAGGCAAAGTGGGGTAAAGTGTCTTGCCCAGGGACACAACGACAGCGGACATCAGAGGGAGCAGGTGGCATGGGTCGTGGGGGGATCGAATCCACAACCTTTGGATCCAAAGACCAATTCTCTACGAACTGAGCCACTGTTCAAAGATGAGCCTATAAAATGTGTATTAGGACACAGGACTGCATTCTCTTATGATAATATTGTACAATGTTATGATATTATATGATTATTCTATGTTTCAACCACAACAAACCCTCTAAAGCTGAAGTTGTGACCCATGCTCAGTGTCTGTGGTAACATAAGGCAGCAATAAATCCAGTGCATTGGAAGCCCAGTCACAATTGTTTTTCAGTATTTTGTCTTCTGCAATGACCACCAACAATATATAAAGGATAGGTTAAAGAGGAACATTTCAAAAGTTAGACACTGATAAAGTTATGGTCAAGACAAATCAAGCATCTTTAAGGCACAGTGCGTCACAGTCAGATGTTTGGACAGCAGTCGCTTCAGATACTCATCAGTGATTAGGAAAAACAACAGAGAAGAGCAGAGCTAACGTGTGCTAAATTTAAGAGTTTACTTTCAGATGTGACTGTAAAAATGTCATGGCTTTTCACAGGTGATGAAGAGGAGTCAACGTGATTACAATCAAAATGTAGTTTGTAGCTTGTAGAATAATTTTCTGACATCTCTGATTAAGATGTCAGATTAGAAATATTATGTACACTGTAAAGTCATAAATATTAAATAAGTGAACAAATAGATGGAAAATGTACATTCCCTGATTTAACCACACTGTTTCAGAAACAACAGCATGAATACTGTCTGCGCACAAATCAGTACAAGGTAAACCAGGGGAGTCAGCGAGTTTTTGCGGCAAGATGTAAAAAGAAATGGCCTAAAATAAAATAAAAACGCTACAAGAGTTTGGCCTCAGCTGTGCACATTGATCACAGTGGTCAAATGTCATTTTCTCTGTGATGCATACAGGTTTGTACAGTACATATAGAAAATAAATTACAACAGTGTTTGGCATAAGAATATGCTGAAACTAAAACATATAAAACATGTTTTTAAAATGGGAAGAAGATCTAAAAACAGTAGCAGAATATCGTCAGTCCTTTTAGTTAAAGTTTGTGCCTCTTGTCATCACCACTGCAGGCTCATTATCACTGAGCGTTATAAAGAATGATCAGCTCTCATGTTCCACTCCCAACTCTGTACGCAGGAAGTCCACACATACAGTACGCAGACGCAGAGGAAAGGGACAGGGGCAGGAGAAAGTGTGTGCAGGACGTGAGCCACTCCGACGTCATGTCAAAGATCGCGAGAAGGCTTCTGACGTCCTGAATCTGTCAGAAAGACTCGGCACGCGCACACACGGGTCCTCACCAAAGGGCTCCCTGGACCCTCTCTGCTGGGACTGGGGCTGTGAGGTTTGTGAGGGCTGTTCTTAAGGCTACGCACATTCACTCAGAGTCATATAGCAGCCAGCGCACTCTTTAAGGCGGGCAAGTCCAACAAAGCCTGGACAGTCATCCCAACATTCACCAGGCCACGCTCCTCCAAGATGTGATGGGGCAGGCACAGCTTGTCCTGCAGATCAAACCAGCAACAGGTCACTTCATTGACTTCATCAAATTAATCAATTACAAAAATAAAAATCTTAGATAATAATTTTGTCATCTTGATTCATTGGTTGATTAATGTGAAGCAATCACAGAACTCATTTTATTCCCCATGTGAAGCGTCTTTGAGTGTCCAAAAGTTTGTTGTTACTATTATTATTATTTATTTTGGCTCTTGCCTCACACCAAAAAGTTTCTGTGGGACGAATAAAGGATTTCTGAAACTTAATCTTGTATATCTCATTTTATTTAAAATGTGATTAATACCTTTGCTACAATGTATTTACAATATCCAGCAAACAATGAAAAAACGCTATTAATAAATGGTAATAATTGACAAAATACTTGATTATTAAATTATTATCCAGAAATGCTCCACTAGGGTTTGAAAGGAAAGTTTATTTTTCTTAATACTTTTATAACTGCATTTTAACCAGCTTTGAAATAATGCAGAACAGTTCTATGCAGCGTCTTCCTTTTAACTTAACCCAAATGCTAAACTACATGGACTTACAAACCCCACGTTGTTTCAAATGCACATTTCCTGCTGCACTAACCTGTGGGACGCCCAATTTTTTGCAGGCATCCAAGAAGTTTTCCACATTCCGCCGACATTTTGCCATACTGAGCTTTGGCTGAAAAAAGAAATGACAAATGACAGCGTAGGCAAAGTTAGCACATAACACCTAGTGAGAGTCTGATGCTTACCACAGCAGGCGAGGGCACGTGGATGCTGGAGACGAGGCGAGGGCTGATGTGATTGGCCAAATGACAGAGGACGACCCCATCCATGAGAGCGGCCCCCACATCATCAGGGAGGAGAACTTTCAGGCGGGACTCAATATTCTGGGAGGGCAACAAAAAGCCAGTGAGATTCTATCACTATGTAAAGTCAACAATGGAGTGTTGTGGGGAGTGTGCAGACATTTGGACTAAATATTTATACTTCAAATAGAATCATAGATTATGGTCAAACGTGCATAAATATACATTGACGTCATCGGTTTGATGTCTTCATTACAAACAGAACCATTAACTGCATGTATCCAGAGACACGTATTTCACATCAATACAAAATGGAAAGATTTGTACCAAGACAGAAAAATATTTGTGTGAAATAGTGAGAATAGGGACACAGACAACTGACCTGCCGTAAAAGTGCTATCTGTTCTAGCTCCTCCCTCAGGTGCTCCATCTTCCTCCGCATGGTGAAGCTGGGGTCACTCGATGATAACTCCTGTTTGCTTCCTCTGGTGAAAGCTGCAATGGTCAAACAAGTGCACTTCTCAGTAAACCGGGACAAACAGGCACAGACAGACACACAATTCTTGATAAAACCTGTCACTGTGATGACGTTAGTTCATCACAGTGACAGGTTTATTGTGAGGAATCCTTTCAGCCAATGTCTTTCTGTCATAACGGCGTTGGACCATCAAAATTCCTCAAGAGTTTTTCCAAGGAAGAGTTTTCTGCATTTAAAAACACTCAGCTACTGTTACTAACGAGTAGTTGTCTGGAAAGTGCAGAAAGATTGGTCTCTTTAGAAGTGGAAGCTCTGTCACCCGAGGGCACTGCACTTCCATACATACCAAAAAAATGACAATAAAATAGTTTTTAAAACGATCATGAGTGCATTCATTTTTGCATTTGCCCTCCTGCAGTTTTATTGATAAAATCTGTTCCTTGATCCAGACAGTGATTTACAGAAAAGCTAATTACTTTTGTAATGATCTCACAAGCCTATTAACAAATTAAGATGAAAATGAACATCCAGGCGTTAAAATAACAACCCCAAAAAGGGAAACTAGAAATGACCTGATCTGGGCTTTAGTCCAAACACAGTCAGAGTGGAGCTAACATCTGTGTTGCACAAGATATCCTACACAAAATCAGAAACAAGAAAATTAAGCATTTTAGATAGACACAAGCTGCACAATGAAAAATTATTAGTTGTGACTATTTACCTCGTTGTCATCATTGCCATTTTTCCGTGCATTTTGACACTTGATCTGGTTCAAAATGATGAAAAAAAAAGACAGGATGTTATTATTGATTGAATTATCATTACGACATCTGACTCTGTGTAACATCAATATAGAAGTCGGACAGAATATATGTTTTTGTTTGTACCTTTAAGTAGTCTTTTCTCAGGTACTTGCTCCTGCGGCGCTCATCGTTTTGGTTGAGGATTGGTGGCACTTCAGTCCATTTGGACTCAGGGTCACTCTCTGTTTTCAGACCGCCGTCAAAGGAGCAGGAAGAAGAGGGCTGAGATAAAAGGCAACACGTATGAATACACAATCAAGCAGTGCAGGGGTTATGCACATGTTTTACCTGTCCACTCAATTCTGATGCTCCACTGGTTCCTTCATCAAGGGAGGCACTAAAAAACACAATTATACAATCAAGAAACATTCATACATACATGAACATCCGGGATTGGGTTCTGAGCTTGTAATTGATTTATTGTTATACAGATTGAGAACCAATTGTCTGAGTCAATTTTCAACACATTGCTGTAAGAGTTACTTCTGATGAATAAAAGTGACAGCTCGCCTTATGTTAAGTACGCCACATGCGACGGAACCACTCAGACTGTTGGACTGAGACAGAGAGAACTGGACATACAGTAGGTGACCAAGACAGGGCCTGAAGGGAAAGGATGTCGCCATGAGGCAATATATTTATCTGATAGTTCCTTTTGGTCTCATCTAAGTCATAATCAATGCTGATATTAAACAGGGAGCTTATGTTGTTGAAGTGACGACAATTTGAAATTCAGATTAAATACATGTTTCATAAAGAGCCAAAACAGTTCTCAATTAAAGATAAAAATGGGGTTGACAGTTTAAATATTAAAACAGATGGTTTATGTCTGGTCTCTCTGGCCGTCATATAATGTAAGAGTAAAAGAGTCCAAACCTGCGAGCGGCCTGAATCGGGGGCCGAGCCTTGCTGCTGGAACCAGAGTGACTCAAGAATCTGCACAGAATGAAAGAAAGTTGTTTAATTCTTTGTGTTTAAAGCTTACAGAGCATAAGTATATTGCTGTGTTGTTGGTATGGTATGTTTTTTTATCTTTACAAGGACAGTGTACAACAAACATTAATCAATATAAAAAACAATAACATCTTTAAAATATGATGGTTTCACGCGTGAGTAGATATACTAGTGCAGTGATACTCATCGACAACTTGAAGGTAAGAGAATTAATTCTGTTGCTGTATCCTTCGGCAAAACACTTCACAGATATTGATTTGTATGAATGTGGTAGGTGTCCACCCAAGGGCAGCTGTGGCTACAGTTATATTGAACACTGTATAGTGTTGAGAGGTTTAGACCAATCCGTGAAGGACTTTTGTGATTAAGGCATTATCATTGCCAGTATGTGCGATTGTTATTCTAAATTATTTAATTTACAACTAAATATATCTTCCCAGGACACAAGGTCAAGATCCAAAAATTATGATCCAATCAGAAATCAGAATCAGCCGCACATTACTCTGCCATTTGGGTTTGGTGAGAGCCGGCTGGTTTCCCGTGCTCAAACCTGAGCAGGTGAAATGCATCAGAGCATGTGTGTGCGCTAAACATGCAAGGTTTGGATTGTAAATGTAGTATATCTTAATTAACCAGTAAGACATACAATTCCTTTAAATGTTCAGTATTATAACCTAAAAGGTTCCTGGTGCCACCATCTTCCAAATATTGTATTGAGTGGGACTGAAAAATGATATTGATAGTAAAACGTTTGGTCCTACAGTATCTACCTGTGTGCTCGGCCTGTCACTCTCCGCCTGTGGATTAGACTCTCTGCTCTGCATATTAAGGAGCGCCTCCTTGTGGAGTAAATCACGATTGCAACAGCAGCAGAAAGAGGGAAAAAGAAGAATTTAGAAGTTAGAAAGACATTGCACAAATAAATCAGTTTTTTATGAAGATTATACTTAAAACAAAATTACTACCTTTCTTATATTATCCAAATAAAGCGATAGTAGGAAAGTAAAATAGCAATTTGTATTTTTGTATTTTACGGCACACTGGAATGAAAGTATAGAACAGACACTTAAAGCAGAGAGCAGCCTCACACTACATCAGTGCCTGCTCTGCAACACACACCTGTTTTGTTGTTCCTGCTGTAGAAGTTGGACCGCAATCTTCCTCAGATCCAGAACTTCCTTCAGATCTTCATCTTCCTCCTCCACCAGCTGCTCTTTGTCCGAACTGCACCCAATAAGGAACCAAGCACATTTATTAAAGGCAATTAGTGGGGATCACATGCATAATATATTCTGTATACTTAATTAATCAACTCATTTATTTCAGTTATGCCAAAGGGTCACTGATAACCAGTGTTGGGTATAATACGTTTCCAGAATACTGAACATAGTAACAACACAATACATTACCAGAAATGTATTTAGTATCGTATTACTTTGGAAAAAGTAGTACCTGTATGCTCAATACTTAGAATACTTGTTTATACTGTAAATTATTATTTTTGTATTATTTAAATGTATTTATTATTATTATTATTATTAAAATTTAAAAAACATTTGTTGTTCATTTTTATAAAACAAGTCAAGTGCTTCAACAGCTGTCATTTAACAACCTGAAACCAAAGTTTTCATATTCTTTTTTTAACCATAAAACGTAATATGAGAAAGAGAATGTGTCTAGAAGTAACTGTAAGGGAATACGGTTACTCAGAAAGAGCATTCTGAGTATGTGTAATGGCGTTAAATGTATTTCGTTACTTCCCAACACTGATAACTGACTTGGAACATTTAAACATTTGAACTCACCCTGATTCTTCTTTCCAGCTGTCTTTATCTTTGCTTTGGTGAGACATATTGAGGACTTTCTCCAATTCCTGAAACAAAAAGCAGTGGTCTATCTATTCCTTTGTCTTGAAGTAAAGGAGCTGTGCAGTACTTCTCCGGTTGTATTTATACCTGCAAAGATGAGACCTACCTTTAAACAAGACATGTGACTGTTGGGGTGCCCATTGCTCTCTGAAAGAGCAGGATCTTCGTCTGGGTTGGGCTCTATAAAGTCATAGAGATCCTGATCTGATAGAGGGAGGAAGCATCCGCGTTCACATAAACGTCACATTTAGGCACTTGATTCAATAAGCCCCCTTTCTCTGTCTATTGCTTTCAAAGTCTAAAGGTGATAGTTATTGTGGATAACCTTTGCAAGAGTCCATTTTGGAGAGCAGAGAGAGGGCATCAGCACGGGCTGTCTCTGAAATCTGAGAGTGAAGACTGACTGTGTCGTCGTCTGATGGCTACAAGACAAAAAAAACGATCAGGAAAAGATCTCAGTTTAATTTTATTTTAATGCATAAAACCTGACCTCTGTTGTCGATAGTCTCTTGTCTCCATTGTCACTACCGATTCCAGAGTCTGGCCCGTGGTATTTACTTGGATAAAAATCTTCTATGCTGAAACAAACACATTTAACTTGAATGTAACCATGTCTAACCGCTTATTCTAAACTACAACTCTGGTACCTGATGAACTGTGACTAATGTCAACAGCGACACAAATTCATGTTGTGAGAGCTTTTGAAGTACAAGCACCATCCTTGTGCCATAGACATGCTGAGCAGAAGGATGGTGACTGAGTGTTGAGTTTGTTTTATTTAATTCAAATAACTAACTTTATTCGATCATTTTGATACATTAATTTGTTGTTTCCCAGAGGAGTTGGGCACCATGTCCTATAAACTCTTGATTAACAGTCGTCACCTGTCGGTGAGGGGCTGTGGAAGACAGCGCTTGCTCAGCGTGGGCAGGTCTAACGTGTCGGGTTTCTTGTCCATGCGACACGCCTGGATGTTCAGGTACTTGAAAATGTGCACTTTACCCTTGAGACAGATCTGAAACAAAAACTACAAGTGTAAGTCTCTATTCAACCGCTATTACAGAAAGAACAATTGAGGACATGGATGTGTGGTTGTACTCACTTGGGCAGGGGGGGATTGCATAGGATTATTATCTAAAATAATGTGCTGCAGTTGCCGGAGTTTCCTGTACACTGAAGGAATCTCTGTGATCTTATTGCAGGAGAAGTCGAGTCGGATCAGAGGCAGGTCTGCAAGCTCTGCGGGCAAACTGTGGCATTAGTCAAATGAGCTTGTGTGTATTATGTAAATACATGTCCGTAGTCAGAAAACAGTTATGATTTGCATATAACATAACAATACAATTGAAAAGCTAAAAGATTTTAAACAATTCAACACCCACAAAATTGTAATAGATCTAGCTCACTCACAAATAAAACATGCATTTACACATACATATATGTAAATGTATACAAATTTGATGATGATGATAATGTGAATGTATGTAAAAATAAACAGGATGTTTTTTGTGTTGACACATGGAGATACACATAGCGCTCAGACCTTCTGGTAGCAAATGAAGACAGTTCCTCCTGATGTTCAGTTCCCGTAAGGCGTGAAGCCTCCCAACCTGAACTGGCAGAGCATGGATCTCATTACAACTGATGTCCTGAAGAGAGAGACAGAGAGTAAGACATTTGAAATTATAGTTATTTTATAGATTTGATTGCTCATACCAGTTCCATCAGATCCTTGGCCTTGCCAATCTCCTCTGGGATGGACACCAACTTATTGTTGCTGACAAGCAAGACTTTGAGTGGGAGGTTGAACAGGTATTTTGGCAAGATCGACAAAAGGTTTCGGCTGGAAAAAAAAAAACAATATAAAAACATACAAAGTACAAGTATAACCAAGTACAACACAAAGTTAATCTTGTTTGTGTTTATCTTAAATGTTACTATAAAATAATGATTACTGTAGACTCACCTGATGTCTAAATAGGTGAGCATCTGTAGGTTGATAATGGCTTCTGGGACACATTTGATGCAATTGTGGTAGAGGTTTAGAGACTCAAGAGGGGCAAACAAACAGACTTCAGGAGGGATTTCTGTCAGACGATTCTTTGACAAATCTGCAAGGACAAGGACATAAAGAACGCATTGCATTAGCATCCAAGTGTCTACCACATGAAGCCTGACTGGGGTGCCCAGGAGCACATGTAACTTAGGAATCAATACATGAGCACACTGCATCAAGGGGATGCCTTCAACTAACCAATATGGAATTTATTCGAAAGGCCAAGTTAGATGGGCTTATAGTGAGTTTGCATTCATCCCAAATCAAGTAAATTAAGGAAGTCTATTACAAAGAACATTGCAAATAATTGTCACAATGGGGCTTACAGTTAGCTTCTGGAAGCTTCTGGAGCATGCTTTGTCAACTAATATATAATGTAGGAAGATCATAGACCAGTTTAAATCCTCAAAGAAAGAATGCAGTGACCGTAAATATGTTTGTCAATGCTTTTTACAATGTGTGATTGGAGACAAATATACATTGATTGAGCAGCTGTAAACAGTGGTGTGACTGTGTATGTATGTGTGTGTGTGTTCACTTAATATGTATGTCCCTGCCTTCTGGATTCTCTCTAGGACACAATCATTAGGGTCCAATGAGAAGAGCTGAACTGCCCTTGATAATGAATTATGTCTATGAGAGCCAGTGAACCCTATTGGCCTAATATTATGCATGACCAAAAAGATTATATGCATTTATCATGTGTACAATTTACATAGAAAAATGAAATTCAGAAATGTAACATTTTAGGACCTTTCATCTGTAAGACCAGGCACTACGTCAGAACACTGCTTTTAGTCAGAGTGAGAAACAGACTTAGCAGAAGCATATTGAGAGAAGGAGAAGCTGAAATGGCCACATATGGAAAAACCAAAGCAGAGGCCACAGACAATAGTTGTTCCCTATTACGAGTAAATACAGCCAATCCCTGAGGCTTTAGACGCAGCTGCAGTTAGACACCACCCCGACACCCCTCTCAGCTGGCCCTTAACTGGGACCAGCGGTGCTCAGTGGAGGCAGAGGGTCGATGGAGCAGGGGGTGGGTAAGCCAGTCATTCTCAGCCTGTCACTCTCCCCTCCATGCTAGCCCAAGCACCATCTGTGGGGTACAGCGGTGTCCACCTGCTGGAGCATGAATACAGAGCCAGACAGACGAGGCCTCATCACGGTCAGACCCCACTGACTCATTTATCTTATAAATCATGTCATATTGTGACACAGCATTTTAGATTTACTGCCAGTGCAATGGTTTTGGAACAATGGTAGAGTTTCAGTAGGAATGTTCCTCATAATAAACAAATGTACCGGTATCTATTTTCATTCACTGATAGTCTGTTCCACGGGCTTTTTGGGATTGTTTTGTTTGTAATAACGGGCTGAAATGATTAATCCAGTTAATCAAATGATTACAAAAATATGACCATATTATTTGGTAATTCTTTATGCACAAACAGTGGCACATAGAACTACTTTCTCCTGTCAAGAAAACCTGCATAAAATGGTGCTTCTTCAGTGGCTTTTTTAAAACAAATGGTTCTTAGCAAAATAAGTTCAGTTAAGTTTGAACTGATGCCGATTGTTATTGTAGACTGACTGTGTGAGGGCTCTCTGAGTGCGCTCAGAAGCCCAAGAGCAGAATTTTTGTCTACTTATAAACGAGCTGTTACAGGAGTCCAATAGCAAAACAAACAAAATACACAGTAGCACTCAGTGTCCAGTCTAGATGATAAAGAGATAAAAGTGATTCAACATCAAGTACCGTAGATGTCATTGTCCTTGTTTAGCAGATTTACACAATTGGGTTTTGAGAAGCAGGATTACTACCTAATATGAGGAGATGCCATGGGGAACCCTGTCAAAGACATTAGTACACCATAATCCTGTTCAGAAAGGCAAGATAATCATCATCTACCATGACCCACATGTTGACAGTTCAGAAATGTGATGACAGCGATGGAGTGGACCAGAGCTGTACACACTGCACACAGCATGTAGTCAGCTGTATTTGTTTAGCTCCACATTCTCACACATCAGTGGCACAACGCACAAAATCACTTTGTGTTTCGTGAGAAGCAGAAGCTTTGCTCTGAAACGGAACACTGCAGACACCTGCTGAGTCACTGCACCATTTTTGCTTTGTGTAAATAGTAGTAGAAAAACAGGAAGGAACACCTTCATGAAGATGTCTTTATATTATTTAGAATTACTCTGTTACATTATTAAGTCTGGCAAGCATTAAATTCAATTGAAGTTATATTTTTCTATATCCTGAATAATCTCTTGATAGAAAAAAGGGAGTATGGGTTAACCTGGCTCACACCAGATGGATATGTGCAGGCCTCAGAACTGAAATGTCACAAGAATTCATCTTATTTTGCCCATGAAGTAGCACAATACATTTGATTTCAACGTCAATTCTGGAGTTACCTTAGACAAGCTCAGAGTTCACTGTTTCATTTCAATGGGAAAACACATCGCTGACCCATTAAATTCACTAGGACCAGTGACATCTTGTTTAACCGTTTATAAATTAGTACTACTATTAAGCACTTTTTAGCATTTAAAGGGACTGTCTGAAGCCATCAGTGAATGATATTAGCCATACTGACAAATGAGCTGACCAGGAAGCATAAAGGGGATGACAAAAGAACCACTAGCAATACTACAGTACCAACCAAACAAGGAAGCCATGGAAAATGCTTTTATCCACCAAGGGTAGAGATGCCAAAAAGTGTTAGCAGCTCTCCAGTAGACACTTTAAGCAGGGCATACACTGTTGACATATAGGGCTGAAACAACTAATCGATTAATCGACGACTAATCGATTATTGAAATAGTCTACAACTATTTTAGTAATCGATTAATCGTTTTCTGGTTCACACGGACTCAAACAGATCAAAAATGACATGAAAATTTAGTATTTTTGATTAAAACCGACTTTGTTTTTATAATTTCATGAATATCTGTCTGTCTCATCCAATCAGATAGCAGAATTAGCACAAAGAGCCTGTTACAAACATTTACTTTAAGTTTACGCCATCAATACGTCCTCAAGTGTTGCCACTTTTAGCTTTTTGTGATGAAAAAATATTTTTTTTCTACACAATTCACAGCCAAGCAATTACTCGATTAATCGTAAAAATAATCGATAGATTAATCGATTACAAAATAATCGTTAGTTGCAGCTCTACTGACATATCATGAAATCAGAAAAAATAATCGCTGAACGGCAGTCAAAACAGTGGGACTCAGAGGTGTCCTGTGGGCGCAATGGCTTCTCATAACAGCTTTGGGTGTGTGAATAACAAGGGAAACAACAAAAAGATGATCAAAAAGGTGTGAAATGTTGAGTTTGTTGATGTGAACCATTTAGGAAGAAGTGAATTGTTATTCACGAAATAATATTATACCTAGAAAGTAGACTTTTTGTTATGCTGGGACTTTAGTTTATGGTATCGGCCTGACCACTTACTGTTCAGTCTAATGTATAATGTCTATCAGGAGAAAATCACAAAAATAAATATCCCAGACAATGTGCCTTTTTGATATTACACACAATATACCTTTTTTATTTTGTTTTTTGAATGAAATATGAAATGTATTGTAACCATAGACTGTAACTGCCTATGGTTTTTTTAAATATATATATTACCAACATCCAGTGTGGGTCCTTGGGCAAGACCCTTAATGCTACTGCCTAACTCATCACATGAAGGCACAAATAAGCAATGAGATGCTGGCTCAGCCGTCGCCCGGCCAAACAAGGTCTGCGTCAGGTGCTGGGGAACCAGAGCACCTTGATGAAAAGTGGGCTACTGGAACAAGGCGAAAGTGGGCGAGATGCGATAACAGGGCTCTATTGGAATGCTACTACTCGAGTAACCCTGGCCAAAGAGGTTACATGCAGAGAATGTGGGCTGAATGGTTACTTCGAAACCCACAGTCACAGTTGGCCCCGAAACAACTGGTAGCTCAATGCTCCAACATCCACAAACGGCAACTGCTATCACAGCTTGAGATCGATGAGGTACAACACATGTATGTTGCCACAGTTGCCGAGGTCAGCCAACTCCCCAACCAGTTATTGGGTATATAGCCCCAATGCAACCGAAGACACCGGTTACAGCGGTTGTGTGAAGTACCACCTGAGGATCTCATAGAAAGCGTGAATGCGGGAGTGCAAGCCGCTCGCACAAGTGACCATCAAATGTGGTATCTGCCAAGGAGATGCTCTGTCCCCACTACTGTTCTGCATTGGCCTCAATCCTCTAAGCCAAGTAATTGACCAGAGTGGCTATGGATACCGCCTCAGGAACGGAGCAAAGATCAGTCACCTCCTCTACATGGATGACATCAAGCTGTACGCCAAGAGTGAGAGAGACATCGACTCTCTGATCCAAACCACCAGGATCTACAGCCATGACATCGGGATGTCATTCGGACTTCTGTACGTAAGCCCGTAAAGTAGGAGGCCGGGGACTAATGAGTGTAAGAGCCACTGTCCAGGACTAAACATCCAAACTCCATAACTACTTCATGCAGAAGGCCAAAACGGATGACGTACTCAGTGAATGTCTCAGGCAGTGGCGAGATGAGGAGGTGCTGGAGGAGAGCCCATCATGGGAGAACAAGCCCCTACACGGCATGTACCACCGGAGCATAGCAGAAGTGGCTGATCTCAAGAAGTCCTACCAATGACTAGAAAGGGCTGGCCTACAGGACAGCACAGAGGCACTCATCATGGCTGCACAGGATCAGGCCCTGAGCACCAGAGCGATAGAGGCCCAGATATACCACACCAGACAAGACCCAAGGTTGTGCAAAGAGACACCTGAGACGATCCAATACATAACTGCAGGGTGCAAGAAGCTTGCAGGGAAGGCCTACATGGAAAACCATAACCAAGTGGCTGGCATAGTGTACAGAAACATCTGTGCAGAGTATGGGCTGGAAACCCCAAGGACTAAGTGGGAAACTCCTCCAAAGGTGGTGGAGAATGAGTGTGCGAAGATCCTGTGGGACTTCCAGATACAGGCCGACCGAATGGTAATGGGG